GTTTGAACCAGCTATAGAAACTACTTGTAGGGAGAGGCCGGGTGTGCTGGGGGAGGGAGCGGCAGAGCACTTGATCAGGGAAACTTAGAAGAGACTGTGTGAATGGGACTTGAATTTAGATCTTCCATATTGTTCCTCCCGAGGCTATAAGGGGCTTCAGAATTCTCTTCATTCTTTTGGGGATCCATGACACATCCCAGGTCAGAGAAATAAGTATTGTCACAGTGAGAACTCCAGCAGCATCCCGCAAGGGAACTCCTACAAGCCAGCGTCTCTTCCAGATGAGTATAGGGAAAGGAGACAGAAAAGACTCTTGACCTCCCAGCTGGTCAGACAGGAAGGAAGTAGAACCTTCTCAGTGTCTGCCAAAAGCAGATGCACGCACAGCTTCCTCTAAGTCATGGCTTGTCTGCACAGTGTGTCAGAAACTCCAGGAGGCTTGATTCTGTGGATGAGAGTGGGGCTAGGGACATCTGTGGTTTTGTGACACTCCTCCGGGCAAGATTGGAACCCACTGTTCTGAATGGAGTCAATCACAAGAATCTGATCCCCCACCATATTCTCAAGAAGTGTGTTTGTACATGTTTACTTGTCATTTGCACCTGTATGCACACAGAGCAAGGCCTCGGACAACTTTCAGGCACCCGTTCTCTGCACCCGCCTTGTTGAGGGAAGGCCTCTGTAGCTTTGGCCTACTGCAGACCAGCTGGTCAGTCCTCCTACATGGGATTGGAGGCACAGACTCAGGTTAATCAGGCTTGCTCGGTGATGCTTTTACCACTGAGCCATTCTGCCAGCCCGGTGACAGACCTTTATCACCCCAGGGCCTCTACTTTGACTCTATCCCAAGAAGCTTTTAAAGGCCCCAATGCCAGGCTGTACCAGAGACTGAGTCAGTCATGATCCCCAGGGACGTCAGCATGTGTAAACACTGTAAACCATGTGGTTCTCAAACCAGGGTTGCAAATCAGCACGTTGGGCAGAGCTCAGCAGTCCTGTTTACCACAGGCTGCATCCTCCACGGTGTTTGCCTTGCTTCTGGGAGTACGTGAGTTTCCACTGGAGGATTGGGGCAGTCAGGCTGCTGACTTGGCTGTCCGCATAGTGTTGTCCTTCGCTACACTGGACCCAGAGGAGCAACTTCCAGCCCTCACTCACACAATATAGCAGCACCGCCTGGACAGCCTTCACTCACACAAGATAGCAGTGCATCCTGGCGGCAGGCAGCAAGTTTGGGAAGACTCTGAGGTGGAGGCTGAATGGTCCATGTGACTGAGTCCTGTCCTAGAAAAGATTGTCACCCAGCAAGAGAAATAAGATATGCATATAAAAATAGCTGTGCTTAGGTAATACAGAAATCAGTGAGTGCCACAGAAGCAGGAAAAAGTAGATGCAGTATCATAATTTAAAAAAAAAAAAAAAAAAAAGCAAAACAACTAAGCTGGGCAGCGGTGTCATATACCTTTACTCCCAGGCCTTGGGAGGCAGAGGCAGGTGGATCTCTATGAGTTCAAGGCCAGCCTGATCTACAGAGCATGTAGTGCAACCAGGGCTACACAGAGAAACCCAATGGAAGGATGGATGGATGGATGGATGGATGGATCACTGTTGACTTATAATTTGCAGTGAAGCATCATGACTCTACAAAGTCTGTGGTGTTGTGATGTCTTTCACTTAGATAAGTCACTAATTCTATGGTTTTGTTAACATCCGCCCCAGAGGACTTAGGATTGTCATCTTCATAGATAGACAGGTCTGTGCAGGGCCTGCAGCTAAGGGACTATAAAGGCCATCTTGCCATCTAGCCCGTCTTGCAGCTGAGAGGAATAATGTACCCTGCCCAGGTCACACAGCAAGCAAGACAGGTGTCAGCCAGGGCTGGAGGCCCAGACCACCTAAAGTCATCATCCATTCTGGCTCTGACCCCATCTACCAAGAGTGCTACACAAAACAGTCTGCCCTTACCCAGAATCCCTTCATTAGCCCACTTCTAATGTCTCCAGGCATCCTCTCTGTGACTGGAAGGCTCCCAGGCAGGAGGAATGTTCATTCCTGTTCCCAGAAAGCCAGCCTCCAGCTTTCAGCCCCTCTGGGATTTGATCAGCAAAACATCCCTCCCCTTTCTGCTGGATTCATTACTCAGGTATCATGTCCACTTGGGCAGTTACCATCAATAGAGATAAGCAGACTACGTGCTGTTATTTTGTGGGAATTTAGCTTTAAAATGGCAGTAAGAGAGGAAAGACCTGGTGAAGGGTTCTAGGTCACGGCTACCCGCAAAGAACTCAGGTAGGCCCCAATGTCCCTGTGGCCATGTAACCATGACTTCTACTGTGGAGAAAGCAGGACAGCCACCATCTAGGAAGCCTTCTGTTTTGCACACCACAGGGCCGGAGCCATTCTACTGGTTCGCTCCCAGACATTGGCCTGAGTACTTTGTACATACGGATCTTGCACTAGAATAGCCATCGCCTGTGCATAGAAGGTTAAGCAGCTCACGGTTGGTGAAGGGCTGGGCCGATTTGAACAGCTGGGCCTCAATCACCATAGTCACTAGGGCGATTCTTTGGTTTCTAGAATCCCTAACCCACCCCAACACATACCTGCCCACACCACACCATACCGCAGGCAACACTTCCCCACGCAAACACACACTCCCAGCACAAACTCCCGAAAGGACGCCCACCACGCACACAGCACACTTTTCCTACATCTAGGTTGGACACTTTGCAGGTCTGTGGAGAAGCCGTTGGGGGGAAGGGTGACCTCTGAAGTTGGACAGCCCGACAGAGCAGGGCAGATGAGTGGCAGGGGGGCGGGGGTTGGTGCAGAGCAGCAGACGTGAGTCATGCTTGGCGTGGGACGCGGGTAGAGGGTGAAAATGTGGCTCTGTCTAGTGTCTCAGAAGGAAGAGCTGACAGCCTGAGGGATGGTGCTGAGGCTGCAACCTGCACACACAGAGTGGCTCCCTCTGCAGCTGCCTCTGGGAAACAAACCTCTTAGTTCACCTCAGTGGCCGAAGAAACATTCCTCTCCAGCAGAAGCCTTTATCTAAGAAGAAGGATAATGGATTTTTGGACAATTATTATTTATATTATTATTACTCCTCTTTCAGATTTCTTGTCCAAACTGCCTAACTCTACAAATAGATTAAAAAAAAAAAATCTTACTGACCGACTCCCTCCCTCCAACCAGCATCTTCTCATGCTCCCAAAGAAACCTCCTAGGTTATGTCTAGGGTAAGAAAGCACAAAAAGAACAACTGTCCTCTTCCTGCTGCTGCTTCCTCCCTAGCATCCCTTGAGCCCTGCTCTGGGCCTGCAGCAGGAGGCTGGGTGGACGGAGGTTGGGAGAAGGAGAAATAACCTGACTTCTTCCTTATTTTCCTTCAGCACTTTCCACCAGCACCATCTTCAGAAATCTAGAGCCTGCGTGGAAGAGCTGGGGAGAGCACTAGATGGGGAGTCCCATCCCGGGCTCCCCCTGGGAAGGGGGAGCAAGGTCTTCATGGCGCTGGGACACTCGTTCCCAGCCCGGGAGAACCGTGTACAATTATTTCACCTGGATCTTTCTTTTTCCCCTTCAACAGCCCTATTACCATATTTAAATGCAAGTATGTCTCTTTTTCATTGGCACTTTAAGTAGCGTAGCCTGACCTCTTTAGAGTAGCCCTTTCCCTTTTTTGGACGTCTCGCCCTCCGTAGAACCCTGTAGCTCGGACCATAGTCTTATAGTTTAGTGGGCTTCTAGTTGGCTCTGTGTGGAGGAAGTTCCTCCTTTCTTTGCTCCTCTGCTCCCCGCTCTTCCGGTGCATGTCTTGTCCCCTTGTCCTATAGAAGTGCCTTGTCAGACAGGCTCTGTGGCTAAAGCCAAGCAGCTCTTTTGGGGGCTGTTTGTCGGGTTTGCAGGGGCTTCTGGTGCATCATTTAAAAAAAAAAAAGTAGCCCCTGGAAATGGGTCTTGGGGCCTGGCGGTAGAAGATATCTGTCTTCATGGGTGTGGAAGTATGTCTGTATACACTGCAGTGTGTGACTGTGTGTCGAGCTAGTGATCAGAGAAGCCTGGGCGAGAGGAAGACTCGCCTCCCCCCCCTTTCTTTCTTGTGGATGTTTTACAGCCACATGTTCAGCCTCAGCCTCACCGCTGCCCGGCCTAGCTTTTCTGAACAGTGCAAACCTTAATCAAAAAAGGAGCCCTGGAGGCCTCTCCAAGCTGACTTGCTCTGACAGTGGCCTCACGCGCTGGAGTCACACCTGAGTTCCCTGTCATTGCCTTAGGATGGGCTGGCATAGTCCGGGACAGTTGACCTGCCTGAAATATCAAAGCCCTGTGTTCCATCTCTGGTACCACAGGGTAGTAGTAGTATAACTCTGGGAAGATCAAGACACTGAGTGGGATCACGCAGAGCCATGGGGCTCAGCCCCTCACCCCAGGAAGAGCCCAGAGCCCTCTGCCATCTGACTCCTGTGACTCACCTGAAAAGACCCACGTGCTTTTGCCCTCAGGCCAGGGGCCGTGGCACTGCTGACAGGAAGTTTTGACCAATCTAGAGCTCAGGTGGCCAGATCTTTGGAGAACTTCTGGGAGGGAAACCATCTCTAGGCCATGGCACCTCTTCTGTGAAGAAGCTCCACCCAAGTGCTTCTGTCCTTGGAGCTCCCCACCCTCAGGATCCCTGTAAAGGGTAGCAGGCCAAGCCTGCGGCAGCAGCATGAGCCAATGCAGGGCCATCAGAGACCTCAACTCAGTTCTGCAGAGAGAGAGGTCCTCCTCATATTTGAGTTATCTCTGTGTGCTTCCTAGAATATGCTTCTGGGGTGACCGGTGGTGTGTGAGATTCAGACATCTAAAGATACTGTGCCTTCTAGAAGCCCGAGAGCCACTGATCTGTACTCCCCCCTCCCCCAAAGCTGCCTGTGAAGCCTTTCCCAGCTGTCTCTTGTGTGAGCTGGGGTCCTCGGTGGCTCCTTCTGATTCCGCCCCGCCCCCGCTCTCTCCAGGCTTCCCAGCAGCGGCTTATGGACCAGTGGCGGCAGCAGCAGTGGCGGCGGCTCGAGGATCAGGTAGGAAGGTGTGCGGGGCAGGCGGCTCCCAGGCATGCCTCCTGTGCAGGGGAAGGTAAAAACCCTGCCAGTCTGTGTGGCTGCGTCTGTCCAGCACTCCCCTCACCATGGCCCAGGGGAGGGGGCAGGGACAGGGAGGCACCACCAAGGCCCAGCTACCCAGGGCAGTTCCTACAGGAGTCTATCACAGTTTAGGGGACCGCAAACCCCAGGCAGAGTTGAGCTCCCACTAACAAAGAAAAATTACCCTTTCCCTTTGGCTTTGGACCACCCCATCTCCAAGCCCAGTTCCTGGGAATTCTGGTCACTGCTGTCCTTGGCTTTGGCAGGTTCAGAAGGTTTCCTTCCTTGGGTCTCTGACCCGGCCAAAGAGGTAGAAAATAGGCTGTCTCTCCTGCCAAACCTGCCAGGTGAGCTTTTTACTCTGGATCAACTCCCAGAGCCTTTGAGGCCAGATACGGACCAATTCTTGAGGTCAGAAAAGGAGCGAGCCTGCTGTGGCCTGAATCCCCGTTGCTCCGAACTTCCTTCTGAGTCAGGCAGCCACCAAAGAAATTGGAACTTTCTCTCCCAAGACCTTTAGCCTTTTGAAAGAGCTGGAACCCTCTGGTGGCCAGGGAACACTTTTCCAGCAATACTATAAGGTCCAGTGAGAACCGGGGCCTCTTATCCCACCAGGAGTGCCAAGGGCTCTCTGTCATGCACTGGACACCCTGCTGAGAGCTACTCTCTCTCCACATTGCTCCTCCCTCCTCTGAGCAGCCTAGTTCCCAGCTCTTTTACCCCCGCCCTGTCACTCTACCCCCTTGGGGCAGGACACACCAATTTAAAATAACTGGGCTCTGAAGAGAGTGGGACAGGGCAGGGTGCTGGTACCAGGAAAATGGAGCATTAGAAGCCCAGAGGGCAAATGCCAAAAACCCAAACTGGCACAGTGAGGCTTATAAGAAAACGTCAGAGAAGATCCGTTCCATGCAAACAGGCACTGCCTCCGAGCTACAAAGGATCCTCTTCCCCCCCAAGACACCCACTGGAGGTTTTTTGTTTTTGTTTTTGTTTTCTTGGGAGGAGGCGGGTAGAGAATTAATTGAGGGTGGGGCTGCCAAGGGCAGTTTGCCAGAGAGCTGGTGATTGGCAGTTAGGCTGAGGAGTCCAGGTACCTGGACACTCTCAACTCCCATCCACTCTAGTCGGTAAAGGTCGCACCTTGCACGCCAGCCCGCACCCCTTGGCGTCCCAGCTGCCAGGCTCCAGGACGGGTGTACAGTTGCATTACGTCTTCCTGTTTCTGGCTTTGGGGTTTTTTAATTTGAATGCTTTGGGGAAATGAAAAAAAGAAAGAAAGAAAGAAAGAAAAAGCCTCATTCCTGTGCCTGGGAGGGGAGAAAGATCAAAAAGAACAAGTCTTGAAATTTGTGAGTGTTGTTGTTTGTTTTCTCCGTTCAGTTTCTTTCTTTTGATAACTTGGATTATGAAACTAAACTTTAACCCAAAATTAACCCTGCCTCTCTCCCCACCCCAACCCCGTTCCCCTTGACTTCATGGCAAGTTTAAAGGGCAGTATGGGATTCTTTGCGAGTCTGAGAGCCGTCTCCCTGGTCTGTGCCCTGTTCTGCCACCCTGCCCATGCACAGACCTTCCCACCCCCACAGCCAGGCGGGAGCCCCACTCACCCATCCCTCTAACTCCTAACCCTCAAGGTCATCTCCAACCACACATTTTGTTTCCAGGATCAGTGATGTTTTATTTGTAGCCATTTCCATCGGGAGCCAAATCTCCCACAGGCCATCAAGGTCAGCCATGCTCATTGCTGCACTGTTAGTGAATCGTATTCAGGAGTACGCTCCCCAAAGCCCCTGCCCACCCCAGCCTGGGTTAGCACAGGGAGTAAATCCTCAGCTTGAGGTACCCATCCAAGGGGAAGCCCCCAGCACTGCCTAGTGGCTGTAGGCTTGGGCTGTGCCCACTGTAGAGAGAACATGGCCTGATCTGCTTGTGGAGCCGAGGGAGCCCAGCCCAGAGCTCCATCTTTGGACCTGGACCAAAGCTGTAAAGTTTGGGGAAGGTAATTCTGCCTTTTTGTTGTAACACATTTTGGCCAGTAGGGGGACTGTCACCTTCTTTTCCTCTAGAAGATCACCCAAACTCTGAGCCTGGAGGGTTGTCCGGTTAATTTACCTTGAGTTGGCAAGACACTCTGCTGTGAACTGAGAGAAACCGTACCAATGTATGCATTGCATCAGTTCCCCATAGGGTTCCCAGGCACTTGATGAGCCAAATTCCCCTGTACCAGCCCCTCAAACCTCGCCTCACCCCACCCTCAGGTCTTTCCCCAAAGCTGAGGATGCTGCCCCCAGCCTCCTGAGCAGGCAGCCTGCACCAGGGTTCTTACAAACCTGTTAGAATCCATTGATTACCTGCCTGGAGGCTGGTCCCACGCCCCACCTGACAAGTGACTACGGGCTCTAGGAAATGTGTCTCCGCTTCCAGGGACTCCTGGACTTGGTTAGGGATTAGATATCTTATGGAAGGCAACTTGTTCTTTTTTTTTTTTTTTTTTTTTTTTTTTTTTTTTGTCATTATTTTTCTCTAGCCCCACTGTTTTAGTTCTCAACCCACTCAAACCCCACCCCTTTGTTTTGACTTCTCCCCGCCCCCCCCCCTCCACCCCATGTTGGGAAGCGCCTGCTGAGGGCCATGGGGGTGGGAGGCAGCTTGGATCTTTCTCAGGGTGGCAACTTGTATCTGTCAGGGCTGTGGTGTTGAGGCAGCCAAGGGGAGGCCTTGAGTTTCTGCCTCAGCCTGTTCCTCTGGGCTAGCCTGCCTACCTTTTCTTACTCCCAGAACCTGAGGTGAGCAGGGCACAGGCACCCCAGCAGGGAATCCCCCTGCCGACTCCTAGATAACTTCACTATCAGTGGTCACTTTCCTTTCACGTTCACCTGGTAGTCCGAAACCGTCATCTTTTCTTGTGCTCAGTCAAGAGTTTGTTTATTTTGATCGTGCTCATTCAGTTCAGCGGCACCACACTCCCCCATCACGTCCCATCCAAACATAAATCTGGTTTGACAATTGACACCTCCTGCCCCCCTCCCTCCCCCCCCGTCCCCCGTCCCCCGTCCCCCGTCCCCCGTCCCAGCCAACCTGAGGAAAACAATACCGATTCTCAGGGTACTTTTATGTTGGGGTGACCTCACTGGTGGGTCCGTGTATCACACTCTTAGATCTTGCAGGACACGCCCCTGGTATCACCTCCCCGCCCCTCCCCACCCCTCCGGCCCCAGCCAGGACCCCCTTACTGTACTTTATACTTGCCAGCTTTATTCCAGTCTAGTGACATGAGCTCCTGATGGTGGTGGTGAGTGTGAGCAGTCACGTTTCTGTTGTCTTTTCTCTTGCTTGGTTGGGGCTGCGGTGAGAGAGTGTCTCTGAGGCATACTTTCCCGCCTCTCTTACACTAGGACCTGCACACCTCCTCTCAGACACTCTTCTGAGCACGCTCAGCAGGAAGGTTTGTCCACACCTGTTAACCCTCTCAGTGTCCAGCTTCCTGTTAGTACCAGCTGGTTTGCATGTTTTGCTTGTTCAGATGAAACAGTTCAAGAAACAAACTCATATCCAACTCTCGAGAAATGTCTTTTTTTTTTTTTTGTACACTTTACGTTTTCTTTCTTTCTTTTTTTTTTTTTATCGGTTACAACTCCAGAACACCTGTTGTCTAGTAAAACATTTCACACCTCCCTTGCCTGTTCTTAGATTGTATGTATCTGTGGGACTGAACTAAATGCATGCATTGTAGTAGATGTCCTGGTAGCTGTACTTGTAGAACATGCATTGTTGAGTTGATATTACAGGGTCTCCGAAGGCGCGGCCCAGCACCGCTGTCTGAAGGATAGCACGGGGACCAGGAAGAGGAGGGGGTTCCATGTTTTTCAATGTTGCCAAGGGGCTTGGATCCATGTTCTCGCCATCAGCCACCACCACCTCTCCTCACGCCCCTCACCTCCTCCACTGACTGGCTCGCCACCCTCAGCTCTAGCCTGTCCACCCAAGGTCTGCCTTCACCGTAGTGGAAGCGAGTGGAGCCAGAGTCATCTTGTTCTCACCAGGTTCTTATCTTCCCCACCAAAGCAACAGATCTCTTCTTGTTTTTAAGGCCATCAGCTCCTCTAAGCCCAGCTTCTTCTTGTCCCTATGAGAACACCACCCTCTGGGTAGAGGGAGGTAAGATACAGTAGGGAAGAGACAGAGAGCTTCAGCCCTAGCAGACAGTGGGTACTTTTGACCCTGGAAGGTGTTGACATTGTCTCTTACGGGTGGTGATGATGAAAGGGGCCAACGGCGTGAGTGATGGCCTGGCATCCCTAGTGCTGGGGCCTGGCACAGCTTCTCAGGAAGAGAGAAGCGTGAAAGGCCTGAGACAAGCAAAAGAACCACCCAGTAGACAGCAGCTCTGACCAAACCCTATAGTCAGGCAGGGCATAGGGCGGAGCTTGTAGGGTACATGTTATCTATCATGGGGCACAGAACTCAGGAGAAAGTCACAGCGTCCATAACATCTTCAAAAGGCTATGTCATGATAGAATGAAATAGAAGCCTGGGGGGGGGGGGGTTGTGATGCTCTGCCAGAGTTAGAACAGATAGGAACTGAGCATGCGCCAGACCAGACAGAATGAGGACACGAAGGCTCCAGGTGGAAAGATCCAGGAGGAGCCATCCTTCCAGCATGGTCTCCCTGGGGACAGGGGAAGCAGACAAGAGAAAATGGCAGCTTCAATGCTGCTACAGATGCAAACTGACCTAGGGCTGGGGCGTAAGGGCAGCAAATGGGAGCAGAACCCAGAGAGCAGAACTCCAGGCTACTGACCTGCATCCTGGGCCCCTCAGAGCTGCAGCCCAGCAGGCAGGTGGGCAGACTAGTATGCCTGCCACAGGATCGTGCAGCCTCTCTGAACCAGGGGAGGAGGCTAGGAGCCAAGAAACTGGTATGGACATCCCAG